CCGGTGCAGGTAAGGCTAAAGCTTGGTGTTTGCTGCCATCGTGCGGCATCCTGTGTTACACCTGCCAGTTTGTAATGAAACGGGGAGGGGAACACGTCCCCTTAATCAGGTAATGATGGGTTTAAACTTTGACTGGGGATGTTGCTGCTTCTTTCTCAGTATTACCTGAGTGCCAGCATTTTTTGTTGTGTTGTTTTGGGTTTTTTTCCTGCTGTCTGCTTACAGTTTACTCTGATTCATTGAGCCTGTCTGCATGGGACCAGCATTTCTTTACATGAAGCTGGGCATAGCAAGAGGTTCATCAAATAACCTTTTCAGTAGTTTTAGAGAGGGTCTTTGGTCACAGTGTAGTGGGGGAAATGTGAATGTGTTTTGATCTGAATGGGCTTAAAAAGAGGCTGCATTTATGCATTCAGCAAAATAAGAATTACTCCTATGTACTGCAGGGATGAATGAATATTTGGTGTAACTACACCTAGCACTTAAAATCTGAATTCAGTTTGATATTACTACTTATCTTTTAAGTAATTAAAGTCAACGTTAATCGCTGAATCTGGTTTATTTAAATAAAATAACGTGTGGGTTTTAGCTGTCATACTTAAAATATTTTCCCAGAGAGAACATCAAGTGCATAGTTTTAAGAGACAGGTTAACCCTTTCTAGCATGGCAATTCAACTTTTGTTTGCAGTTTTTCTTGTAATGGGAATATACAGTTTGTGAAGGAAGGTATGTTCATGTTTACCTGTGTAGATAAACTTGGCTTGGCTTGCCAAAAAAATCCCAAACATTTCCCGATATGTAAATTTGTCTGAAAGGCATTTTAGGGTTAGACTAGCGTATTATCTGAGCAGAGATAATCTAGCTGTATGTGCAAATTACCTGTTTTCTCCAGCCTGAAGTACATGAAATAATTTACAAAGAGCTGTGCTCAAATTTTGTCGTTTCTTCTGTTGTATATTGAGGGAAAGACTGACAGGTTTAGAGGTTCTTGGGATCCAGTTTTGTTCTTAATAGTCATCTTAAGGGTTTTGTTTTTTGATGGTATGGTGGGGTTTTGTTGTATTGTTTGTTTTTTAACTTAAAAACCTCCAAAACAAAACAAACAAACAAACAAACCCCCAAACAAAACCAAACCAAACAAAAAACCAAAACACAACGAACAGTAATCCTTAAGGGTCTCCCTAATGACTGAACATTGTTACAGATGGCCACCCTTTACCTTTATTGCTACAGAAACCCTCATCTTTCTCTTAAGATTTTTTAAGATTTTTGATGTTGAGAAATTCCCCAGGTAGGGAGCAGAGTCTGATGGGTTCCTGTCAGGGCTGGAGTGCCAGAAACTGAGTCACTGCTGAGCCTGGATCCGGGGCACTGCCAGCTGGGCTCTTGGCAGTTGGCAGCTGCTGGTGGCATTGAGGAGCACAGGAGGGGTTTGGGAAGCGAACAGGAGGGTACCACCACTAAGGAACTTGGTCTGTCTGTCCATTCAAGTCCTTCCCAAACACCTGAAACACATGTAGCTGGCTGCAGCCATCAGAGTGCTGTCTGTGAGGTTTGTGAGCAGACTATTGTGCTTGGTGGTTTTTTTTTTGGATTTCAATGTATAGAGTCATAGAATGTTAAGGGTTGGAAGGGACCTTTAAAGATCATCTAGCCCCACCACCCCTACCCTACCATGGGCAGGGGGATACCTCCCAATAGACCAGGTTGCTCAAGGTCTTATCCAGCCTGTCCTTGAACACTGCCAGGAGTGGGGCACCACAACCCCGCTGGGCAACCTGTTCCTGTGTCTCACCACCCTCACAGTAAAGATCTTATGAATACCCAGACTAAATTTCCCCTCCTTCAATTTTCACTCATTACTCCTTGTCCTATCACTACAGTTCCTGACAAAGAGTCCCTCTCCAGCTTCTCTGTAGGCCCCCTTCAGATACCTGAAAGTTGCCGTGAAGTCTCCACACAGCCTTCTCTTGTCCAGGCTGAACAGCCCCAGCTTTCTCAGCCTGTCTCTATAGTGGAGGTGTTCCAGTCCTCTAACCAGCATTGTGATCCTCCTCTGGGCTTGATCCAACAGTTCCATGTCCTCCTTATGTTGGGGACACCAGAACTGTGTACAGTATTCTGGGTGGGGTCTCACAAGAGCAGAGTAAGTTTTATTTACTTCCTTCCTTCATTTAGGTATATGTCTCTTCATCATCTTCTATGTACCTTTTACATAACATTTTGTTTAGGATGGGTGTTTTAGAAACTTTATTTTGTCAAAACAACTCCCAGCTTTTTTTACATGCCTCACAATTGCTTTCTCACTGTGACTGGGATTAAATACAGTATGAAGGCAAAGTTTAATGTTTGAAACAGATTAAACTCTGTACGTGTTGTTACAGTTACTCAAAAACTTTGGTCCATGCAGGCATTGGTGCCAAGCTGTGTTTGGAGGACAGAGCCAGTAGGGGGAACACAAGCATTATTTCTCTCTGTGGCTTGGATTCCTAGAACGGTACTGCACCTTTCCAGGTTTCTGAGATTGAAAGATTATAGAATGAAATTTTGCCTAAAACTGGCATTTTTTCTTTTTCTTGCACCTGTTACTTTTACATCTCTGTGGAGGAGGTTCCTGATGACCTTAACAAGCACTTCCATTGGTGTGGTCTGGAGTCAAGTTGATGGGCCTTGAAATGTGATCTGTTTTATTTCCTCAAGTGAGATGTGGAACAGAGGAACAGAAAGTGAAAGCATGTGCAGGAGCGATGAGTCTTTGAGCTCTTAGAGGCATCCCTTGCTGGCCTTCCCTGCCTGCTCTGTCTTTCTGCAGAGCTGACAGCTGTGAGGAGGAGGGATTTCACAGAAGGTGAATAAAGGAGAATGGTTCTTCCTGTCTTGACACCTGTTTTGTAAAGAAACCTCAGCATAATTGTGCTAATGAACTTTTTTCAGAGATCACCGTGTGTGTACCCAGGAACTGATATTTTATTATATCTAAGAAACCCAGAAAACTGCAATCCTATGTAGAATATATACCTAAGAGAGAGAGAGTAGATAGCAGTAAGATTTTTCTAGAGGAAGCTGATGATTTATAAAAGGGGAAAAAGCCACACCTCTAGAGAAACTTTTTTGTTTTTCTTTTCCTCTTAGTGGGAATTGCGTTTACTGTTTTGTTTTTATTGCATATAATGGCCAGTCTTCGCGAGCGAAGATCCGGGGAAGGTCTTTACACCTTCCAGCCTGCGCATTGGATTTTTTAGGTGAGACACAGTGTGCGCGGAACTGAGCCCACCCTTTAATCCTAAGGTTCATCTGCCGGGGCCAAGCGAGCTTGGACGGTGGCAGCGAGGTCCTTAGGACGTAGGTGGGTTGCCTTTAAGGGCTAACGAGCCCCACCTGCCCGGATTATTGCATATACAAGCTGGTAAAAATGTAGTTGTTTTTATAAAATTGAAAAAAATTATGATTTATCGTTCTTTCATTTTAAAACTACTGTTGCCATGGACAGAAAAGAATGAACTTTGCTTTCAACTGTCAATCTGGTGCAGCTTCATGTATCTTTAAGACAGGCTGATAGCTGCCCTCTATAAACTCCCCTTCTATCACTGATGGAATAAGAATAGACAGCAACGATTTTCTGAGTTGATTTTGAGGACTGATGGTCCAGGAACAGATGGGGGACTTGATAACACAGCCTACAAATAATCTTTATGCCTTCAGAGACTAGTATAGACAGTACCATGGAAAACTCTGAGTTAGAGTTAATTTTTGTAAAATCAGACAGGCTTTGAATTTGTTTATTGTAAAGGCAAATGCAAAGTGTAATGTAACGCTCTCAAAAGCTGTTCCAAGGTTAATTAGATTCAAGTTTAAGATTCTCTGCTTCTTAGTAGTCTGAAGTTGACTGAACTGTGTTTTTTTCTTATGCTTTGCTCCCCAAATTCCAAAGCCTATAATGTGGCTTTTCTATTGCAATTGTAACCCATGGATTTTAAAATGCAGTTTCCTTTGCATTTGTCCGGCATTGTAAGGGGAAGCTCAGGAGTGTTGGATAGAAAACCTGCAGCTACACTGAGATTCTCCTTGAGGACATGGTCAGGTTTGCAACTGCAGGAAAAGTGCAGGATCAACAAAAAGCCTCTTCAGAGAAGGTGCATCAATCAGTTGTGAGTGTGGTGTTTGTATATTTAAGAAATAAATATCCAAGGAGGATCTAGTCTTTAGTTATTGTGTAACATCATGGAGTTGTATATGAAATTCATTTCTCTAGCTAGTGTGAGTTATTTAATATAGGCCTTTTGAAGATAAACATTCTCCTACACATTTCCAAGGAACAGATTTTAACAGTTCTTCAGTTTATGAAATTCAGTTTATGCACTGAAGCACAGAAACAGTGCTTCAATGAAAACACTTTCCACTTTTGTTTTCAATGGACAGCCAATCTTCAAGTAAGGAAACGTGTGATAAGACCTGTGCTATGGGAAAAAAATGCTTGTAATACACAACAGCAGTTCCTGTTTACTGAACTAGGAGACCATACAAACCTAGATTGAAAGGCTCTGTTTTCATGTAAAGGCAGTTCTTACAGGCTGATCCTATTGTATATCCTATAATCGGAATGCATCTAGGTACATGCTGTATGCTAGTCCAGAAATTAGGTTTGAAGTGAAAGCATGCCTTTAAAATTGTTAATAAGATAATACAATGCTAAGGTTTCAGAAGGGTGCATATCTGCTTGTTAACTCTGTACAGTGCTTCAGGTATCACAGGATGAATCTCTTTTTTTTCCAATTTCTTGATGGTGTGCTAACTTGTGTCAGAAGATAGCAGAGATAAGAGATGGAAATTGCTTAAGTGCATCTTTACCTGGGTTTATCATACCATGCATATAAAAGTTACTGCAAATTAAATTTTAATGTATTGAGAAATTTAGAGATATTATAACAACTTTCACTGCAAAACAGAGATGGAAAAAACTAAACTGCATGCATACCTAAACATTGGTAAAAAGAGCTGTTGTAATCAAATGAAAAGGTTATAACATTCTTCAAATAATGTCGTTGCCACATAAAACTTTATTCTTAAATGTCAACTCAAAGCTAGTTCTTTTTACAATCCTGGCAGATCAGAAAACTAAAAATTATTAATATCAACATTTTGCCTGCATCATGGTTTGATGAAATCATACTTTCCAGGCAGATAAAACTTTTTAATATGAGGAATTATCACTTTCAGTTATCATAGTGAGCTCCTTCTCTGTGAGTCATAATTAAGCTTTTATGGTCTTGGTCTGTTCCATTTGCTGTGAAGTTGGTAGCCCAACAAATGGCATTCCATTCACTGTGGTGCATATGTGAGTTCATTCTGGAGTAAACACGAGCAGACGATGGGAAACCAGACTTGGACTGGGCTTGATGGCAAAAAAGAGACTTGGCATTGGTTAGCTGATGACTTTGCCAACTTTATATGTCATCTCAGTAAAATACATGTCTCAGTGTCAGCAGCGTGTTTCAACATTTATTGAGGATTCTGTAATGTTCATTGCTGGCTGAGAGGAGGCTACTGGGGTTGTTTCTTGGGCTTGTTTCTCCATGCTCTAATGGCAGAATTTCTTACAGAAGACTTCCCTTGTATGTGACTTGGGATCTGGAAATATGTGATAGTTGGTGGCACTAGGCTCATCTTTCTCCTGCTATTAGAAAGGAGTATGTGACCTCATTTTTTGTGAAGGCCAACCGCTGTCACAGTGGTGTCCCTAAGAAAAGGAAACTTTTGAATAGTACAGAATGTCATACAGACAATAAGCTTTCTATAGTCCCAGGAAGTATATCAGCAAATAACCACTTTGTTGGGAAAACTGTTTTTATTCTGCTTTAGACTAGAGTGGGCTTCCTATTTGTTTCTGTGGTTTTGGTGTGCTTTGAGCCATCTATGTCAAGCGTCAGCAGAAGTCCTCCTAAACAATACACAGCTATGTAACTATTATCACATATGCGACTTGTATATAAATTTACAGGGTTTGTTAGTTTTTTAAAGCTGAATATTTCAAGATTATCAAAACAAATGATAAACTACTTACAATGATATAGCTATGCAAAGTTTTCTGCTTTAAATGGAAACAGATGGGAATTCATACTACTATAACTACCAACATTAAAAAGCTATGGATGTGTAGTTTGCAGAAGCTATTTAAAATGTTTATTGCACCTGTTTCAGAGCAGGTGAAAGAAAAGCTTTCATTTTAAGTATCCATGCTGCTGTAACTAATCATGCTGGTTTGGCTGGGGTAGAGTTAATTTTCTTCATTGTAGCTGGTATGAACTATGTTTTGGACTTGTTCTAAACCATAGTCCCATGCTAGCTACTATGCCAGGAAGAAAATTAACTTTATTCCAGCCCAAACCAGCGCACTAACACTGCCTAAGCTTTGGAGCAGGTAGCATGGAGTGGAACGTGGATGATAAATAATGGTAGGACTTGCATAAACTTTCTGGTTTGCTGGGCATACTGCCTTTTCAAACTGTGTAAAGTCTACCGAAGATCTATATAGATTGGTCTCTTCACGATAACTGAACCACCCAGAACAACAGTAATCATATGGAAATTCTGGGTGTGAACATGAACAGATAAGCTCTGTAATGTGCTTGGCACTCAGCAGTGTATGTGCTCAGTCAGGGATGTGCTGTTGGTAGCAGAAAGCTGGAAGCTGGGGCTTCTCCCACCCCATGAGCAACATCTGCTTCTTTTGCATGTATCAAAAAAAAAAAAAAGACTGTTAATACAGATATCTATGACATTAAGTTTACTGTACAATGTGTGTGTGTTGGTGCACACTGTTCCCATGTTTCATTTGGGAAAGTGAAATGCTAAGAGGGAGCTGTTTGGCCCCAGTGTAATGTACAAAAATCTGCTTCTGGTCACCTCCCTTGCTGGTGTGTCTCAGGTATGCAGAACTGCCTTCTCGGCATATAATTCCAAGAGAAGTGTGCTCTTGTTGGTCACTGTCCTTCCGAAGGACCTGTGGGGAAAGTATGTCATCCTGTAAAGGGCCACAGAAGAAGGTCCTGTAAGTTTATGTTACCTACTTACCAGTGAGGACTTACCAGCTATGGATGGACTGGATGATTGCACTGGCAAGTAACAAGTGGTCTGTCAAATATGGCTGGAGGGCTCCCATACTGCTCACTTGACCTGTGCCTAAGTGGTAAATCCATCTTACTGAGGCTGTGACACACTTGTTGGGTTTGTGCAGATGCACCTACTCCTTGTGTATGTGCCAGTGTTAAGGGTTTCCTAGGCAGAGTTGTGATAACCCTGGTTAAAGGTCCCCTGTTTTTCAGTTGTTTTGACAGCTGCTTCTTCTGATACTGCTGGATAACACTAGGGCTTCTGGCTTTTGAGGTGCTGCAGTGAACCATAGGTGGTGAAAAAAGGTATAACTAATAATTATGTTTTCATATTTAACCTTCACTTATCCCCATCTCGGCTGCTGCAAGCTGCTTTGATTCCATCTGCAACATCTGTGCTTTTCTCTCCACAGGTAATTTGATGTGTGCTGTCAACTCAGTGTTGGCATTTTGTTTTTCCTTCCTGCTGTACCCTTGTCATTTCCCATGAAGTACCTGTTCTACAGAAATCCATTTTAAAAGTTTGATTTCTGCTTTTGCAGAAATGATGTTCTTTGAAGGCTGAAGGTAATTTGTAGGTCTTTTAAATACCAATCAGCTGTAGCAGTGAGAAACTATCATAGCTGCTGATGCGTAGTCGTATTTCTTCAGGTACTCAGCAAGGCTCTAGATGCTTTTTTCACTCAATGGTAGGCAGATAGTTGTGCACAGCTTTTAGGATTGCTTTCTGATAAATTTGGTGTGGGAACACATTCTGTCAGATGTTTCAGCCTCTGCAGTCTTTGCATACTTATATTTAGATATTTTTAAGTGTCTACATTATCACTGCAAAGCACTCAAAACAAGGCCTGAGAAGGAAGCACAACCTTGCAGAAGTTCACATCAGCTTCACAAGGATAAATGCAAGCACTAGAACCAAGAAAATGAGTAGAAAATTGAGCAACAAGTTGAGACCTCTGTTGTTGGCAAGATCCATAATGTGCGTCAGCCTGCCCTCTTGTGCTTGCAGAAGACTCTTAATTGTAGCTTTGGGTTGCTCCTTCAGTGCTAAGCCAGGTAGATTCACACGAATTTCATTGTGTCCATAGCTGTTTATCTGGTTTTAGTTTCTACCACTTAAGAAAAAAATGTTTGTTTACAGTAACTAGAGTTGTGTTGTTTTCTTTTTCCGGAAAAGGATCTGGATACTCCTACAGGCTTTTTTCCCCCAGTACCTTAAAAATAAAATAACAAAAAGAAAAGTTAATGTTAGCCTTCATTTCACTACTGGGGAATTTCTAAAGAATTAATTATTGGAGAAAGAACTTGAATTTTATTACAGTTTGGCTCTTTATTGGCTTTTTTTTTAATATGGGTGGTACTTTCCAGCCCTATTTAATTTTTAAAAGAACGGCTGTTCTCAGGACTCACTCTGTTTCAGCAATAGACTGTTGAAAATTCACATCTAAAATATCTCTGTGAGTACGAATAAAGGAAAGCTTTCTTGTTTGGAAAAATGTATTTCTGTTAATAGGAGTATTTCCCACCCTTCTGGGGTTTGGCGTTGTGCAGTGCAGCAGGTTGCGTTTTGCCATCAAGGTGCTGTGTAAGATTCGTTGCAGCTTTGCAAATGCCTTGTTGAGAATCCAGATTGGGCTGGCAGAAGATGTGTCCTTGGTGCTTTTAATAGTGCATATGCAATAGCTTATTTTAAGGGAGTATTAATAACTTAACAATTGTGTTTTATATATAGAAATATATGTACATAAATGAAAGGAGCATATAAAACCACTATGCCCTAACAGTGAAAACAGAGGACAAAACTTCCTTTTAGTAATCAGCTTAGTTTTTATGGATCATCACAAGAGGGCAGTGTTTTATAATTTTTTATTTTACACAAAGATGTAACTTCTGGTGTTCTTTTACCTTAAAAAAAATATAACAAGCTTATAAAGCAATCAGTCAGATACTACAGTAAATCTAGGGCCTATTTTAAATAATTTAAATTACCAAGGGTTCTTACTGAGATGAGCATCAGTTTTTAAAGGAATCCTTATAAATATGTTCTGGGGTTTTTTCCAGTTTTTATTATGGAGGTCAAAGCTAAAAGAACTGTGTTTGTTTTTAAATAACAGGTATCTGTGGATCTTGTAGGATTTCACAAATATTTTGCAATTGTATTCTACCAGGCATTATTTATTAACAACCACATAATTACAGGTATCTGGCCTGTAATCTACAGTATATTAATATGCTCCCAGATATAAACAAGAAGACTCTTTAAGTGAATGTGTTCAATTATTCTGCTCTAATTTTAGCAGAGAGGATGTAGGTAAAGTATGTTTCAGCAGAAATGGGTACATCAGACATGATTATTGTTCTGTATGTGTCACAGAATAGATGAAGTTGGAAGGGACCACAGTGGATCATCTGGTCCAGCCTCCCTGGTGAGGCAGGGTCATCCTAGAGCACGTGGCAGTCTCATCCAGACTGTTCTGGAATATGTCCAGTGAGGGAGACTCTGCAACCTCTCTGGACAATTTGTTCTAGTGCACAGTGACCTGCACAGTGAAGAAGTTCTTCCTCATATTCACGTGGAACTTCCTGTGCATCAGTTTCTTCCCATTGCCTTTTGTCCTATTGCATGGCACCACGAAGAGTCTGGGTCCTTCCTCCTGACACCCTCCTTTCAGATACTTATATACATTGATGAGGTCCCCTCTCAGTTGTCTTTTCTTGAGACTGAACAGGCCCAGCTCCCTCAACCTTTCCTCGCAAGGGAAATGCTCCAATCCCCTGATCATCTTTGTAGCCCTCTGCTGGACCTGCTCCAGGAGCTGCATGTCTCTCTTGTGCTGAGGAGCCCAGAGCTGGACACAGCACTCCAGGTGTGGCCTCACTAGGGCTGAGTAGAGTAGAGGGGCAGGATCCCTCGACCTGCTGGCAGTGCTCTTCCTAATGCACCCCAGGGTGCCACTGGCCTGGTCATACCATTGGCCATTGGTGTAATTGTAGCAAAACTTACATAAAAGTTCCTTGTGCTGAGGGCTGGCAAACATTTTGGCCGTGTTGTGTGAAAAATGTTGTCTAAGTCTGTTCTACGCTTGTCTTTCCACTGAGTGGTTCAGTTCTGCTAGGAAGGGCAGTTGTCGCTAAATCGATGCAGAACAGTTAATAAAGAAACACAACTCTCTCCTGCCTTCTGAAGTGCCTTCCTGAGTAGTCTTGATCAGAGCAAAATTTCACTTTTTAAATGGGTCATGTTTTCATGTAGAGAATAATGAGTAGTTATATCAATTTTTGCTGAGGAGCCAGCTGAGGAAACACATCTTTAAAACCAGCATACTTTTGTTCCTGATTCAGCTCCCTCCCAGTATAAAATTGCCATGGAAGTTTGTAATTTCTTGTTTTGGAGGAAGAGTAATGCCAGCTTGTTGCCTGTTCAGCTGTCTTTATTCATTATCAATGTATTAGATGAACTTAGGAAAAAGATTTAGGCTTGGGTGGAGTGGAGCAGAGAACTGAAAATTTAATCCAAGCTATGTGTTGTGTTTGCAATTTTTATTCCAGCTCATAAAAGAAGGGAACTTTTTGATTACACTTCAATGACATTCATTAGGATTACTTATGAGCAGCAGCTACTGAGTGTGAATTAGGTACATGTAAGTGATTTGGGCATTACAAAACAGTCAGGATTATTCTTAAAAACCAAAGCAGAATAAATAGAGATATAGAGAACTAAAAAGCTGTGCAATGACTAGCACTTTTTCACATAACTGTAACATGTAAGTGATAGAACTCTAAACAGAATTGGATGTATTTTATGCATTAATATATTTTCAAGCAGTCATTTTAATAGTTAAAATACAGTAGATGTTATTTTTAAAGCTCATAAAAGTCTACAAAGAAGTTTGTGCTATATACAAAAGGTGATTTTTTTTTTTTTAATCTAGGGGTTCAGTTGACATTTGGTGATACAGAGGATGGTAGTAGACTTTTTGATCATCAGAATCCTAAGACTCAAATGAACCATACAGTACATGCAATTTATCTGCATTGCTGTAAAATAACAGTAGGGCATCCAATTTATTTATAATTTGGTTTTATTCTTGTTTGTTTATTGCTTTTAAATAAATGATGGCTTTTCAGTGCAGGAAAGAAGAGCATTTTTCCACACATAAGTGGAAGTTGGAGGCTTTGTTTTTATTGGGGGGGGTACTCTTTTATCAATACTTTACTTTGACTGCTGTATATTGCTGGCTTGTTAAACCTGTAATCCAAACATGTCTTCAGAATGTATGTGCTGATGCTTTACTCTTAACACTTTTCTTCAGCAAGTTTTCAGTATTGTAAAACTTGTCTGTTTCTAGTTGAAGTCTCTTGAAGCACATCCAAAACAAACTAAAGCTAGAAATCCTATCCATCACAAAAATACAGATTTGAAAAGAGAAGAAAGGGAAGAAGGATTAAAAGGGAAAATATCCTTACCAAAATCTTATGTGTTTGTGCATGTGGTGAGAATGCATGAAATGGAAATTGAGATTTACACTGATGGTTCAAATCAGTAATGCTTATATACTATCTTGCAAGTGGGAGTGTGTTGCCAGCCTCACCAGTGCTTGCCCTAGTCCTCAGCCCTCATACAGTTGCTATCTTAATTTCCTCTGGTGATTAGCTTCATTTTAGAGGCCTGGTCTCAGCATACCTATTTGCCAGATAGGAAGTGCATCACCACTGGATTTCCTTGCATTCCACTGCATACAGGGCTTTTTCAAAGGTTTCTTCCCTTCCTGCTCAGCTGTTCATTGTCAACCTCATTGTCAACCTTTTTTGTATTCATCAGTAGGACTGCTTACATAGAGCGGTACAGAAAGATACCTCTTTAAAAAATGAATGTCTGTCTGACCTCTGTGTTGATTCTTGGGCTTTCTTTAAATTTAAAAAAATACCAAATTTTTAGGAACTTAGCTTAATTGGAAGTCTTCTGCTCAGTCTTGTTACTCACAACTGCTGGACTAGAAATGCCATCTTTTACATGTATAGCCTCTGGTTTACATGTCAAAAAGATATTTCTGCAATGCTTTTCCCTCCTGTGCATAATCATTTATAATTTTTTTTAATCTATCATTTATTTTAGGAAAATACCTGCATGTTCTCTAGCAAGTATTTGCAGTTGAAGGTAGGGGTGTTACTTATGTTTGTATGATACACTTAGGTCACAGCAATAATGGTGACCTAGACTTTTCTCTCTACCACATCAGATGTAAGCCACCTTTCGTGACACTGGGAAGTTCCAAGGTTTTTGTAGTTTTAAAGTAAGGAAATAATTACATAAATTATAGCAGGACAAAATTAAGTTGTCTGAAGTCAAATATTAAGTACTCTGAGAATTATTTCCAAGTTGAGCCAGTTGTCATGTCAGTTAACTGACTATAGAAAACAAAATTTTTTATGTCAGTGTGGTAGTGTCAATTTTTTTCTGCAAAACATAGTGAAAAACCTTTCCAAATGTCACGTATACAAGATCCTTTAGATAGGGGAAAAAAGCATATGAGATAGTTTTCATTTTTGGGTTAGAAGAGATTTTTTTTTTGTTTATTCCCATATTCCCTTAAAAACACTAAAGCAATTTAAATGCCTTCAGTTGATAATACAGAGATGAAGCACCTTGAATTAGACAGAGCAGAAATTTTCTTAAAATGTGTTGAGGGCTGTGTACCTGTAAGCTCTTCTTTGGGCAGATGTGGTCCAAATTTGGAGCCCCTCTAAGGGCGTAAGGATTTTCAGAGAAACCTAAAAAACACTCAGGCCCCCAAAAAGTGAAGTTGCTGTTTGTCTAACTAAAACATTGAGGAACTTACCAACTGATGGCTGTTGCTGTTGGGGGCAGATAATCTGATTTACCAGTACTTTACCCCATTTAAAGATATGTCTTGATTGAGACCGACAAACTGGGTCATGCACAGCTTTGTAACTACAGGCTCTAAACACTGTTCTGCACAGAAGATGTGTTTTTAATACATGTAGCAGGTAGTAAGATAACAGGACACTGGTTGGCACACACTCTAGTCCGAGTGCTGGCCCCTGTCACATGAGGATCCTTGTGTTGGGAGTTGCAGGTGTACGTCTCTCTTCCCCGGGATGATTTTCCTAGAGGACAGTGCAGAGGAGTGCTGGGACTTCAGAGAAGCATCACAATGATACAGATCAGCAAGAGGCAAATTAAAATCAGGCAGAAATTCACAAAGAGCTCTTGGAGCCTTTGGCGTGCTTGCGGGTTGACCTCAATAGTTGAGGCTCTCCGTAGAGCAGAGCGGGTTATGTGTTGGACCTTCTCCATGGCAACAAGAAAGCAGAGAGCACAAATCAGAGGTTTTAGGAGTGCAGGAAAGAAGAGCAGTTGTCAGAAACAGTGCAAAATGCCTAATATCTTCTCTTTTTGTTTTACACAGCCTTTGTGGAGCTGGAAAAGCAGGAAAGCGAAGAATTAGAAATACAGAAGTGTTTTGAAGAGTGCAAATGGAAATTTTTTTTAAAGTTCTAAAAAGTCTGAAATAAATAGATTGTTCTTACATTGTTTTTAGTTTAAAACAGGATTTTGAAAATTTGACTTTTCAAGTTCAGGTTTGTGCTGTACTGTACTCCTCCTCCTGAAGGTTACTTAAGCACCTGCTTCTTAGCAGTGGTGAGGAACTGAATCATGAAAGTTGTAGGTATATGGATTTTGCCCACCTCATTGCTTCAGATCCTAAGCTCTCATCTTCCACAGTCTGAAAAGGCCGTGGCTCATTGCCCTCCCACCCACACCCCTCTGCTTTATTTGTTCAAGCACACGTGAAAGCATGATGATAAGACCAGGGTCACAGACCTTTCAGCCAGGAGATCTGGATAGTAGTGCTGGCTGTTACTGACAGGGGCAGATAATCTGATTTACCAGAACCTTTTTCTGGAAGGGAGGAGGAAAAAAAATCCTGTTAAAGTGTTTCCATTCCAACTACAAGTTCTTTATGGTGGACAATTAAAAGCTAATGAATCACTGCTGCAGGGAATTTTAGTAGTATATTTCTCAACGGACAAGACAGAATAAAGACTAAATCTTTTTTTATGCATGTAGGACTGTGTGTTACAAAATGTGGCTGCAAAGGTGGAGAAATGCTATGAGGAACAAAATAAAGCATGTATACAACTTCATATCTTAAATAAGTGTTATATTTAAAGTATATTTCCCCCCCTTTTAATTGCAGATGGAAGCGTGGGGTGTCAGTTGTCTTAAAACTCCAAATAAGTAGCTGCAGTGTAAATCCCTCCTGCACGAACCTTCTGTGGCAAGAAGCTGGCTTTGATATATGCTTGCTTAGGTCAGGGTGAGGTGGATTCTGCAGTTGCTGTCACAATATGAAAACTTTGTTTTCAAGATAATGATGATATATGCATCTGTCAAACTTTGTTCCTAAAGCTGCACTTACTCCTAAATGTTTTATGAATTGATATTGTGATCGTATCTTTCACAGAAGGCCTCTCCTTGCCACCCTTTTTTTTCCTTTCTTGGCAATAAGTGAAACTCCTATCATGTGTGCCACATAAAGGAAAGCCATTGCTTAGATGTCTGTTTCCCAAATTACATGATGGTCCTGATTGAATCAGAGATTCTTTGTTGCCCGTGAATTTGTCTCTATATGTGGCTAAATAGAAAAAGCTTAAAAGGAGGCAGAACTGTCTTGCACGCTCTTCTTTCTTAGTCCCTCCATGTTGGGCTGTAGAGTCAAAGGGTACGAGCAGAATACACATGCTTTCAGTGCCAATGGCAGTGCTGGTGTTTTAAAGAGACTTTCAAAAGAAATCAGATTGCACATGGTTATTTTAATACCTCTAGAGGATTCCATGTGATGACATCTTCTTCCAAAACTCAACTTCAGATTTTGTTATGATGTTTTAAGGTATAGTTAATCTTAACTTTATTGCAAACAAAACACACACCAGGAACTTGCTCTTGTAGTGACTATAATTTTTCATCTTTGTTTGACTTTTTGCTGTACCTGTTTTCATCTATTTAAGCAGTTAAAGTGCTTGCCAAGTATGTTCTGCTTAGCTCTATGCCAGTCACTGTCTGTCCCTAGTGCTGTAAAAGCAAGACATGCACAGGAATTATCAAGTCTCTTGGCTGAATGTGCGTTCGTTCTCCCAGCCCAGTACAGGCTGGAGTGCATTAAGCTGTTTATCTTCTTCCAGACAAGTCACAGTAGATGAACCACTAATGGATTAATGCTGGTAGAGAGGAGTTTATGTGACCAGCTTGTGTGACAGACTCTGCACAGAGAACAGTATTTCCTGCAGATGACTTCATCACAGCTTCTTGTGTCATTTTTTTTTTAATGCAGTGTGTGTGCAGCCCTTTGATCTTTGGGCTCCTTGTCCTGCTACAGCAACATTTCTTTTTCCTGACTACTGTTTTTTTGGGACCCACAGGAGGATTGGAGCAGCATCAATGTTTACCTGTGTAAATGCACGATAAGTCCATTTCATGTGTCCAGCATTAGATTGAACTGTGCACATGCTGGCATCTGCACTACTGTGCTGCTGCAAATGTTTCACTTGCATGACTCAAGGAGCAAAGACTTGGGGCTTTGATTGCTTCCATAAAATGCATTATTAGCTGGTTGGGCATCACAGATGCAAGGCCAAAATAGGATGAGAGAGGGTGAGATTGTTCTGGGAGGGAAAAATCCCATTTTTTTCTTTTGGAGTGAGTGGGGAATGTTGCTGAGGGAAATGGCAGTAATAGGTCAGAAGGCTCAGTCAGGCTGAGTTGGCACTAGATATTTGGACATATGTGACAAGACAGGTGATAGAAAAGGATATTAAAAAATGGAAGGTAGCATATGTTAAAATGTATACCTTTAGCAGCAAGAAAATGTTGTAGAGAAGGGATGAGGAAAGGACAAAATAGAGTAACCTGGGTTTCTTGCTATAAAAGGTTACATGGTTTTGGAAGTTTTTGAAACATCTATGTGTTGTTTAACCTTCTAAGCCTGCCTGTGGAAGAAGTTTTTTCTTACAAGCAAAGGAAGCCAATTCTGTGCCTGTATTTCAACAAGTTTGTCTTTACAAGTGTTTGACTTCAACTAATAAACACATACCTTGCTCGTTAATCCTTCATGGTGCTGTCACCCACCTAAAGTGTGCATAAAGAGAAACAGATTCAGTAATACAGCTGCCTATGGGTGGCTATCAAGGTCAAAATGGACAGCCTGGAACATAATTACATAGAAATGAAGGCTGATTTGTTGCCACAAATAGTAGCTATTCTCTGCTGTTCAGTCCCCTTGTTTTAGGCCAATATAAAGGAGAATTATGCATGCACACACCACTTCTTGAAACGAAAGTGCAGCAAAAAGGCAAACTGTATTTTATATGTTTTTTAAGTCAAAAAGTGTTACTCCTGTGACAAGGCTGAGCATTGTACAGGAGGAACTGTTGGCTGTATTGCTTGCAGTTGTATGTTTTATCAGTGCTGTTAGTGGATGATAAAGGCTTGTCTTAAGCACAGTGCGAATCTGCAGGGTCAGTCTTGTGCCTGGCCCTGTGTGTGTTACTATGTAGAGAATCCCCTGTACCCAATGCCCTAGAATGAATCACCAATCACAATTATTGCTTCCCTCTTCACTGACATGTGACTGTTTCCCTGATTTGTATTAGGTTATTTTTATCCTTGTTCCTGGGTGTCCTTCACAATAAGAGAGGGGTATGTGACCAAAGTGAAAACTGTGGGCCACTCTCATTCCTGGTACAACTGCATTTACTCCTTTGAAGTCACACGGATTAAATTTGGCTCCTTTGGAAATGCCACAGCAATTTTGGATGCAGCCTGTTTCCTGTCATATGTTTACTAAATGCAGCAATGATATCAGTGGAAGAGAAGAGATTTGACTTTTTTGAATTCTTGCAGTTCCACGTGACTAACTGAAGCCCTGAAGGGGCATTGTTAAAAGGTAATGTTGCATAAGTCTATCGCATAGATTTTTACAATGAAGTGTCCCAAAACCCCAGTAGTTCACTGCCATCCATTGAAAAGTAATGTCTTAATAACCATAAACAGCAATGCAAAAAAATACTATCAAGGTATGTCGATTGAAGATCTGGACACTGACTTGTGGCATATAATGTAATTTTTCAATCACATGGAGAAAACATTTCCTTATGATGGGTAAAGAAGCAACAATTCATCTCATAGTTTGAGAAGTGCTGGTAACAGGAAAAGGAAACTCATTTTATCCTTCTTTCTACCTTCTGTTTTAAAGTCTATTTTGTGCTGAAACATCAGTATTTTTTAAATATTTCGGAGAGGGTAGGGGAAGGCTCACACTTGAGTGTCTTTTTTTATTCCCCCTCTTATTAATTTATTGCTCTTACAAGCTTCCTTCTGATTAGCTTTAATGTTGTCAGTGTTTTAAGAAGCAAGACCGAGAGTAAGAGCCTTTACCTGTGTTTCAAGCCCATCAGAATGTGAAAGATGTAGATGTCAAGAAATTAGACTGATGGATATTTGAACACACCAGGCATTTGGTTTTTGGAAGTTATTCACATGACTTGGGGATAATTGGGACTTGTATGTGTGTTGATCCATTAGAGTAGCATGGGAGCCAAAGCTTTGGGCTAGTTTTTAGGTGGGGTAAATTCCCTGCAACTACTGCAGAAACTGTACAGTAGGATCTTGGGCAGGTGCTTCAGTCTCCATACTCATCATCTCCCCTCATCAAAATAAGACATAAAATAACATTATACCACTTCCAGACCGTTGGTATGATTTACATAGTAGCTTTCTTTTAGGAAATAAACTCCTTCCTCCACTATGTGCACTGTCTACCTAACAAGTTGTTTCATGTTGAGGTTTAGGTTCTGGCAGTTCATAGGTTGCATAGGAATTGGGCTAAGTGCAGTTTGAATTGAAGTAAAAGTTGAAACACACCTAACATGTATAAAAAGTAGAAGTGTAAGAGGATGTTCCAAGTTTTGTTGTTAACCTTTTAGGGACTCAGAGAACAATGACATGGTGTTGACTGAGAAGGACATAGTAGGTAAATTCAACTTCTGGGAAGTAACTTGATGCCAGGAAAGTCCTCTTAAGCCATTTATCAATATTCAGAAAACAACAGCAATCTTCCAGTTCTCAAGTGTCTTGTAGTTTAGGGAATATAATGTTAACTTCCCTGTGGGTTTTTTTGTTTCTCCAGTAGGGGTGCTTTTCTATTCCTAAATCAAATTGTTATTAAAGCAAATACAATACTGCTCTTGTAGCTGTGTAGACATATCCCATACATTTTTGTTTGCTGATGGTCTGAAAAAAAATCGGTGAAAATCACCTTTATGCTCTCAATTACAAACTGATTTTAGTGAGTTTCATGCTGTACAGTGAAGACACTGTATTGCTAACCTCTGCAGGGCATGAGAAGTAAATGCAACTTTAAAAATAGAAATGTGGTAAATGCATAAATCTGAATCTGTCTTAAATACGAATAACAATAACATAGCTGTCTTGACAAATGAGTAGCAAAAAAAAAAAAAAAAGAAAATTGTTTGCTGTAAATTAAATGCCTTATTTCACATCTGATTTGTAACACTTATCACCTGCTATGTAGCACATGCTTCTGTCATGACTGTAGATTGCTGTTAATCAGGGTTTGGATGTCTATGACATGGGATGTTATCAGTGTGAAATTTTTAAATTTAACTTAACAGCTGAGCCACTCTTTCATCTGCATTAAATTACCGAACTCTGGGACAGGGTAAAATTCAGACGATTGGGTAGCTAACCTGCTGTAGCTGCAGGATGCATTCCAGATTCCAGTAAAGAGCTGCCTACAGCAGTTAAGTTTCTGTATGTATGTTCAGTCTGTGTGTGTATGCATGAACTCTGTATTTTTAAAGGTACGTGTATGCAGTATTTGGGGTAGGAGAGAAGGATTCTCTGTGTGGTAGAATAAACCTTAGCTCCCCTTTTCACTTGAAAACACATTTTACATTTTATGTAAGCCTTGAAAAATATCTGTTTGTCTCAGAATCTTCTTGCTCCTTGGTAGGCATTGGTTTGAAGGCACTGGGAGGTCTGAAAGTGCTGCTTCTGCCTCCTGCAAACAGCTTCTAGAGAGCTCTGTAACGGAGTTTGCCTTAGGAGTAAGAGGATATCTGGATGCATCCATCACTTGTCTGTTCAAAACTGGCACGAGGCTGCTGAGCACAAAACCAAGTACCTGGATGTATCTTTGCCTGATGCCTGCCAGTCACTAATAGGAAAAGGAATTAAGTGTGTCTGTTCAATAGCAGAGAAAACATACCTCACAAAATTAAGGTCTCTACTAAGTTTTGCCTTTTCTAAAATCACAACCATAAATAGTAAGGTGTGAATTGATGAAAGGAGGAAACATGATTGTAAGGAGCATAAATACCTTACAGGCCTACATATTCATATATCATTCATATTTCTTTTTAAAATATTTGTATCTGAAATATTAAATGTTCTTTATGTGACATGTTTCTGTGTGAGATGCGCTTTTTTTTTCAGTGATTTTAAAGCTAGGGTTGTATGTCATTGTACAGTGTGTATGTGCTTCCCTTCGAAATAAATGGATTGCCTTCTTTGTTTGAAATTCAGTTCGTGATGTTACAAATCCTCGCAAAATTATTTATCTCTTATCAGAAACAATCTAGGACAAGTTTTGCAGTTACAATGAACAGCAGGAGAAAATGAACCTTTAATGGAATTCAAAGCAGAAACGCTCTATGGATTCTGTAGCTTGAACTGCACTTATAGTAACATATATTCAGTTCTAGTACTGCTATAAACCACTTAAATTTTAAAATTACAGGTAATTTTTCATCATACAGCAAAAAAAAAAAAAAAAAAAAGGTTTACTCTCTCAGTGGGTTAGATCAGAAAAATGCTTTTCTTAGTGAAATGGGCTTCTTACCTTTGCTGGGCTGTGAATAGGCAGCTTTGGGCAACAGGTATTTCTACAAAATTTAAAAAAAAACTTTGGTTGGTTTTTAAACCAACCAAACAACAGGAAAAAAATGAGCAAAAGGTATTAAATTTAAAAGGAGAGACAAAGGTCTGAAGAACACGATGAAACCTTCTCACATTCTGGTGCCATGCCACCTGTATAAATCCCTACCCACGGGCAGCAAGTGTCCTACAAGCACATAGAAAATTCTGTTGCCTCTGTTGTTGCTGAAGTGCTCCCCTCACAACGTTATATTTTTGACTCAGAGCTGTAATACCTACATTTCCATATTTTTGATAATCAGCTGTTAATTTAAGTAGAGGAGTTTTTGTAGAAAACTACTGCTACAGAGTGCCAAGCTACAAGAATTGAAAGCATTACACAGAGGAGAGGTTCCTTACCTCTGGTCTTACTGTTATAGTGAAGCACAGAGGAGCTTGCTCCGGGCTGTGGGACGTGCCTGTAGATCTCTGGCAACTTGTCCTAGTCTGTAACTAAGTTGTGGAAACAATTGAAGTAAGTTGAGGGGAAGAAATAACAAAAGTTGCAGAGGCAGGGACTCACTGTGTCATTCGACAGCTCACAAGTTGATTGGTCCCATTTGCCTTCTGACACAGGCAGTGGCTCCTCTAAACTTGTTCACAGGAGTAATATATTAAACATGGGCAACATCTTTCCTTTTGTGAAGGGAGCTGTGTGCCAGGGAGACCACCTGCTCAACCACAGGATAAGGGAATCTGGGAAGCGGCCATGCTTCAGTGGTGTAGCAGAGGGAGCTGCTTGCTGACACCCTGCCTTTTCTTAAACAAGAATTTCAATGGGAATTTGTTCAGGGAGGTGTTTCAGATAGTTACTTTTGCTACAGCAATGTTTCTTCATCGTAAAAAAGCATGAATAGTGTGGGCTATCACATTTCATGTGGGTGTTTGACTTGGAATGATTTTCTTTTCTACAAGGTATTTTTTAAACTACATTTTCATTACATATAATTTTGATAGTTCTGTTACACAGCTGGTGTTCAGTTTACAGTGTATGATGCATTTTTTCCAATATCATCTTTCTTGTCACAGTGCTTGAGCTGAAGTAATTTTCCTGTATTTCAACTCTCTTCCGACCTTTAATTTGTGGCTTATAAAATCTGGCATATAAAAGTTCATCTCCAAAATTTACCATTACTATATAATTTGAAGTATTTATCTTTCCTTTAAAACACATCCTGGCACTTTTTCACCCCCTCCCACTTTTTGTGACTGGAAACTATTCAAGTGATTTTTTTTTTTTTTTTTTTTTTAAGAACCCTTTCTGTTTGTTTGGATAGGAGTAGCAGCTCGATGCTACTTTACTGGTTATCTTATGTATATTATCCTGTGTTGAGAAATGACAAACAGTGCATATAGTAGGTTTTGTGCATCTGGGAAGTGAAGAATTTGCTGGATGTGGAAGGATTAAACTGTTGAATGTGCGAGCATCCAGCATCAGGCTTTGTGTGTGGATGCAGCCGACAGAGTGTGCCTTTTCCTGATTTGGAAGTCGCAGGCAAAAATGCAGAAGCTCAGTCTAACTCTGAACACTTACAGATTCAGTTTTGAGAATAATTGTTTAGCACAGATGAGTGTTTGATTTTAAGCAGGAAACCAGACATGGTGGGGGTTTTTTTGTTAAGTTTGTTTTTTTTTTTCGTTCCCTGGAAGCCCTGCTGTGGTACATCATTCAAACCAGAGACAGGACGGCCTTGGAGGTGATGTACCGCCCTGATTCAAACTGAGCTATGTTTTTATTTTTGTAAATGTGGTTTAGCTAGTCTGCAAAATTGGTTATAAAATAGTTGAAGTTAGCAACTCGGCTTTAGTATAATAAATCTGCCTGCTTTCTGCTGTCCTTTAATATCAGATGCAGGAAATCTAGGGTCACATATTTCAGTTGAAAGTTAATTGAATATCTCCACAGTGAGGAGTGATAGTTCTTTACTGGTGCAAAGGGTTTCATAATTTACTTACAGTGGAATTATTAACATTGTAAATTTCTCGCATAAAAAGGCTGTATTTGGCCTTTTTATGAGGGAAGTTGCATGTTTTCATTGTGTTCTGTCATCCAAGAAAAGTGCTATCATTGGATTGTTTGCTTTTTGTACTTGTACTTTTGAAAGTAGGTGGGGCTCGTTAGCCCTTAAAGGCAACCCACCTACGTCCTAAGGACCTCGCTGCCACCGTCCAAGCTCGCTTGGCCCCGGCAGATGAACCTTAGGATTAAAGGGTGGGCTCAGTTCCGCGCACACTGTGTCTCACCTAAAAAATCCAATGCGCAGGCTGGAAGGTGGAAAGACCTTCCCCGGATCTTCGCTCGCGAAGAGGGGCCATTATACTGTTGAAAGTTGTACTATTGAAATTCACCTCTGTGCTTGGTAAGTCCAGCACCCAGCACTACAGTGGCTGCAATGCCAGTTCCATCCTTTTCCCAGCTCACTGTAGAATTGTTATATTATTTACTCTATCCCAAATTCTTTCCTCTTTTAGTTAATGAATTGGAGCTTTTTAGAAATAAGATACTGTAAAAGAACGTTGGTTTTGTTTGTGAGCTGCTGACACAATCATAACCTGGTCTCATTTTCAAAGACTGATACTTTAATGTGCAAATGAAGGCACTAATAAAAACACTAGTACCTCATCAGAAATATAGTACATGTCTTCTGTAAATGTCTAACTGGTAAGAAATTTTAAAATAGAAAATGTTTTTTTTTTAAACAACCATAACATGCACAAGTTCAGCCCACTTTAGTGTTGTAGATCCTGTATTGATGTTGTTTCTCTGCAAACAAGCTTGTTTGGGTACCTTCTCTTGAGAACATTTTTCTAGTTCAGCTTGGTATCATTCCCTTGTGTAACTCATGGGGATTTTGTTGGGGTTCTGAGGCAGATGCCAAAGTACTGCTTATGGGACATGTCAGTCTGACAGGTACAGACATGATATATGAGCACATCACTGTACTGTTTTCACTGACTCCTGAGTGAACAGGTCCAGACATCCATGGATATCAGAAAGGAAAAGCTTTAAAAAAGGAATCTGTGTTGGAGGTTCTGGTCTGCTGTATTTTGTTCTGGGGAACAAGAATGTGCAGCTGTTGCTTTCATGACCTTAAATGGAGATGATCTGGGCTTTCTCCAGGAGAATTAGAAATCTACCACTAGAACATGTTTTTTCTCATAAATTTGCTTAAATTGGGATAATGTCCAAAACAAGGTGTGTTGTACTTCAGCATACCAACTCTTTTGTTTAAATAGTCTTTTATTCACGTAATAGTATTTTCCTGGATTATTTTATTCACATAATAATAATTTCATGGATTGTTTTTATCTTTCTTATGCTAGTTTTTAAAATTGCAACTGTGGACACTGGCCACCTGTATAACCTGTGTAAAGAGTTTGAGGTGCCCCTACCTGGTGTGCTGATAATCGTGACTGCATGGAAGTGAACTGTTCCCGCAATCCGATTATTTATAACACACAAGTAAAGAAATTCAGCAGTGAATCTGAGTACTCAGGTTAGTGCACTGTTTTGTCGTGCTGCTGCTGGTTTGTCTCATACTGCAAGTGTAGCTCTGCAGTATCACATTGCAAAGGTTCTTGTGTTGCACATGTTTGGTTTAACAGCAGCAGAAAACACAGAGAAGGGATAACTGGATGCTCCCACGGATGTGCACTGGTTTGTGCGTAGGTGGGGCAGAGTAGCAGATTTTGGTATTGAAGCTGAACACTGAAATGAGATCTTTCCTTTTTGTAACCAGCAGTTTTCTGGGCTGATTCTGAGATGCTTCCCGCAGCACGTAATCGCTTGTAGTCATCCAGGTGTTAGCAAATGTGGCTTACAGGACCTCTTTTGATGATCTCTGCTAAGAGAAAGGACCCAGTAAATGTATCCTTCAGTTATATTTGTGCTGTGGGTCTGATGTGGCCTAAAGGGAGGTGTGAGTTTTTTCTTTCTTCTACAGGAAAAGCAGCCTTTTCAGCGCTGGTGTGAAGAGCATTACAGAATTACACCAGATAAGGCAACAGCCTAATCAATTCAGAGATAATAACTTTCTTCTTTTTATTTTTTATTTTTTTGATGTCTTTCAGTTTTTTTGCTCGAATGTGATAGGTTTGTGGCCCATATGTAATGTTTTACCTGATGCTTCCTTTAAAGCTTATCTGACTTCAGTGAATCTCACACCTGGAATCTCAGTATTTTTTTGATTTTTTAAAATTTTTTTTTAAATTTATTTATGTGGAGGAAGTTGCCTTTTTGAGTCTGCACATTTTCCTTCTTCCTTAGTGGGACTTAGAGTCTTTGTTAGTGTTACAGGAAACAGCTCTACTGAGAAATCTGGACTTTGCATCATGTTGTTTTCCTCAGGGACACCAAGTATTTTACTTCTCCTGAGCATTTGGCAGGCATTAAATTGGTTTGATCTTCACATTTTGTTCTTCATTACCAACACAATAAAATTACCTTTTGAGATGGCAACTTGGGAAGCATACCATTGCAAAGTGATTAAAAAAAAAACCCATACAAAATAAATTAATAGAAAACTATACTACTTGGTCTGAAATATTTCTCGTTTTGGGAATGGCGAAGGCTCTGGCAGGACTAATCATCTGACTTGTTACAAACCAAAGATATTTTTGGAGAGGCCATCTTGAATGTTTTCAGTTCCTGTTACTGGCATGAACCTTTGACCATTAGAGTAGATCCCAGGATGCAGGAGTGTTTCACACCTGTCTGTTGTCTTCGGTGCTTCAACCCAATGTTAGGAGAGAAGGGGAAAAAGACATTTTGCCTGGATCTTGCTCTGAAAATCTGCTGTGTCCTCCCTCTTCCCATACCCCTATAGGAAACACTTATTTCACTTGGAGGTAACACAGTTAGCACAGACTTGACCCAAGTAGATGGTTTATTTTGCCATAATATTGACAGCACAAAAAGCTGTGCTCTTTTAAATACCTGGTGGCTTTCACAGCAGTGAAGTGTACCTTTTCACTGGGTTACTGAAGGTCAAATATATTCAATAGTAGCAGTTAGCTGCAGTGATGCAAAGTGTCTTCAAAACAGCAACATGATAGAGGACAGGAAATTCAGCGACATTCATTACAGTGGAATATTTTTTATTTCTGTGAAATGCCTTGGAAAACTGTATTTTGGTGTTTACTGGTGTCCTCGATTGGTTAAGCTGAACAACGTGCTTTAGGTGGCGTGCTGAGATCCTTATACCTAAGAAAGTGTGTCGAGTGTCTTTCAGATACACTGTTCTAGGAAGCACAGAGATTAGTTGTGTCATTTGACATGTTGTGAGTGATGGATGAACAGCGGGACAAAGGCATATGAAGGAGAGATAAAGTTGGAAGACCAGGTTTCGGTTGCCAAGTGGTGGTGCTGGATTATCTCTGCTTTAAAGGGTAACTGTGGAATGGAGGAGGAGAAATAATTGGGCTGCAGCTCTTGCTGCTACCTATCTTCAGCTGAAAGTTGTCCTGGCAGAAATGTGCAAACATTCATAGAATCACAGAATATGCAGAGTCAGAAGGGGCCCACAAGGATCATCGAGTCCAAGTCCTGGCCCTGCACAGAACAGTCCCTGAGAGTCACACCATGTGCCTGA